TTTTTTTTTTTTTTTTTTAAGTAAAACATGTGACTGGATTACCCAAATCCCCAAAAGAATTGCGTGGAGAGTCTTCGCCAAAACGGAGTTTTACGAGTTGATTTCGAGAGTAAGCAGGGAGAACGAGATTGAGCGATCAACGCTACTCAAGTTATGAAAGGCTGGAGAGCATAACTGGAGCGCTCTCTCTCGAGCTGGCGAAAACCGTGATGTCGATTCACAATGAACACAAGAAAAGGAAAAGAAATGTACCTCTCACAAGACCTTTTTTATCACGAACAAAATATTTGTAACACCAAGAGGCGTTTAATTTTCTTTTCCAGTTGAAAGTGAAAAAGTATCATATTCGGAAACCATGAGCTGCTCGCAAGAGACTTCGTTCCCATGAGACTTTTCGTCCTTCGAAGTGACGTCGCCGTAGATTGAGCTGCACGGAGAGTAAAATCACAATCCATGAGGTGAGACCAATATTGATTATCAATTTTCAAGTACTATTGCAATTACTGTTATTCAGATCGAAAGGTCATACATAACGTTCACAAGTTTACAGGAACCTCATAAATTTGAGACTAATTTTGCAAGCGATTTCGACGATTGGTACTCAGTTGAAACCGCGTACGCACCCTCCTGGAACATAATCTAGGAGGAAAGTACAAATAAGGTTAATTTTCGCTTCCGTTTTGGTTTAAAATTTTTTCAGGCAGCGTTACGGTCAAGAGATGTTGCTATGAACATTGCAAAAATTTATTTACAGGGCATCTTGACAGTCACGATCATACAGTTGTCTAACAAGATAACTCCTGACAAATATCCATTGGTAGTGCCTTTCAAGTTCGTTTCATGGCTTGGTTTGTGGGCTACTCATAAAGCTCATATTGACAGAGCTACACTAAGTTTCCTGGGGTTAAATGCTCCTAAACATTGTATCGTGTCACTAGCTGTGTTGCATGTCACTGATTACTTATCTGAATAACGCATTTTCATAAATATTTTCGGTGAAAGCACTTCGAAGTTTAATGTAGCGTTGTATAGGAGAACTTGCCTTTATGACCTCGGTTTACAAACCTAAAATCTTACTCAAATAATTTAAACAACAAATGCCCTCTTGCACAAATAATTTTTTTTTTTCGGTTATTGGTTACAGATCTAATGGCATCTCAGCATTCATTGGTAAGCGTCAAGATACCAACACCCCTTATGCATGCACGGATAAACTAGATTACACAATGCAATGTGAAAATAAATCATTCTTTAATGTATCTTTAAAAGACACTCTTGGAAAAAAAATCAAATCTTTTGAATGACAGCAATAGCTATGATATTCACCCATGTAATTTTGGCATAATAAGTCTTTTCCACAGGCCCAGCGAATATGATGAAATAAAGGGTAAATACTCACAATTGTCAGCTTCTATGTAATATTCAATTTGTGAATTCCCTGAAAAGTGTTTTATCTAATTTTGGTCTCTTTCTTGTCATGATTTGGTACTGAGAAGAGAATTAGGTACATTGGATTTAACTACGTTTTGTTATACAGCGTACGCATAATACATGTTAGCGAAAGCTTACTATGCGTCATATTTGGTGAGTAGAGCTTTGATCTACTAGGAAAAAAAGAACATTTGTTTAAATATCTTCAAACTGGGAAGAGTATTTTAGTTAGACAATATCACAAAATGTATTAGGCGGAGGCAACTTAGCTTATTGATAAGCACCAAAGCATCAAGGTGTCACCAATGTTTCCTTGTAACCTTTCTTCAGGGCGCCTCCCCACCTTTGCAACACATGAGGAGGGGTGGTCATAATCCACATGCGAGGTGAGAATCGTTTCTTGATGTATCAAATTTTGTTTTAGAGATCACTAATCATCAAAAACTCCTTTCTTCATTGGAAGAAAGGCACAGCAAGGAAACATC